CATTTTTTCATAAACATAGCAGTTTCAGAGAAACTGCTATGTTTAGGAATGGGTTAAGCCTTCCCCCATTCCCTCTAGTGGCTGTCTCATTGATTTTCACAGTGAGAGCACGCCAGCGTCCATAGGAAAGCATTATGAATGTGATACCGGAGAAACTGACGGAAGCAAAGCACAGAGAGATGGACACAGGTTTCTTCAGGAAGGAGGAGATTCTTTATTGGATCACCGATCGGGACTCAGAGGGACTAATGTCACCAAAAATACAGCAAGTTCTGAGCCCTGAACAATAGTGCAGGCTCCCTATATAGGCACATAACTCCTCCCATTAATAGCTACACCCACATATACCTTTAACCAATCAATGAGCAGAATATAGACTTGTACATCTAGTCAAACCACATGGCCCATCCAAGACAAAGGAAATAAGTGCAATTTCAGTTCCTGCATTCCTGCACATGCTCAGTACACTAATGACAGTATCCTAGCTACATGTAGCTAACCAACTGACACAACATACACATATGCCACATGGAGATTTTGGCCTACTAAATTTTAACCATGCTGGAATCCCATCACATTCCCCCCTTTTGATGCCTCTGATATAACATTATTCCAGATGCATCACCAATCACAGTTTTACCTACATCTCTCAAGTAGCCATTGAACCAGAGTAGACCTTGTAAGCATCTTAAAAACTCCTTCAACATTCTTCATCCTGAATATATTCTCTTCGGGCTAGGGGATCATATCTTCCAGACAGCCATTACATGAGCCGCTGTCTTTCTCTCTATAGTACTCTCTATAATACTACGTAGGGACCTTACCACTAGTGGAATTAGACAGGGCAGGAGGAGGCACAAAAAATATAATAAATTCTACTCCTCCTACTAATGTCTTAATTCCTCCAAGCTGCTCATACCAACTTCCAAACCAACTACTTAGGTTATACCCATTCCAGACCTGAGTAGGTACATGCTCAAATTTAACCATGTGGCTTGTAAGTTCAGCCACTGCCTGCCCTTCATCATCTATGTGCAGACAACAGTTACTTAGATTAAACTTTCCGCATACACCTCCTTCTACTGCTAGTAAGTAATCAAGGGCTAGCCTATTCTGGTATATGGCTGATCACATCTTGGTATTTTGCTTAGCTAGAAGATTAAGCACTTGAGCTGTCTCATTAGTAATAATCTCAACTACCGCCTGTAGTCTAATAATGCGGTTGAGCATATATAATCGGAGTTCTATATCCATAAGTGCCATCTTCTGCCCAAGTAGCAGGTCCATAATAATTAATAATACGTTGAGGGGGCCACTCATTATCTTCCCAGCTACCTATATTCAAGGATGCTCTCTCCCTTTTATGATTTACATCGTAAACCTTAACTCCCAAGGTCTCTCCTGTTTCGATTGGCAACAAGAAGAAGGATGGCTTTGGCATACCTAATACACATGCCCCTTCCCAATCTTGTGGTAACTCCGAATAAGTTTTATTACCACAAATCCAGTATAAATTTGCTGGGGCTTTCCAACTAGATGTAGCCGATAAGTCAAACCATACCTCCTTTAAATGAGTGTAATTGGCAAACGGATTAGTAGGTTCCGAGACATTTGAAGCTGACCACCAAGTAGTATTTTTAGTATTAACATTATAGGCTTTTTGTCCCAAGCAAGTTAGCTCACCTACAGACGTGTTATACATTGTCCCTTTCCTGGCTATACAAACATGACCTATAATGGAGGTTTTTAACCGCCATTCCAATTTACTTCTAGTACTTACTTGATGATCAGACTGGAAAGGTATCTGTTGTTCATATGTCTCAGAGCCAGGGTACCATATTTCCTTTGCCTCCCATGGCCACTGGTCTCCCATATTAGTACCTCCACACACATAGCAATTAGTTACATTAAGACTACCTGCAATACCCTCAGCCAAATCAATAAATAGGTTGTTAACATTATGGAGAATTTTATCCTCAATACTCATCTCCTCATAGAAGGAATGAGAAACCTGATGAGTTTGAGTTGCCACTGTCTCAGTTTCAAGACCTACATATATTATTGTTCCTGAATTTACTCCTGTGCCATATATTTGGAACCCAAACAGACCTCCAAACCTGTCAATAAAGTACTGCAGATTGGAAATGGTCATGTGAACGGGGTTACACACATAGTTTTACAGTATGGTGTGGTAGGCAACCTTTGGATAATCATATCTTGATCCACTGTTTTTCCCAGGTTGCCCAACCTACACATGACAAATAGGGGCAGAAGTTAGTCTCTATTTGGGCAATCAGGATCAGTAGATCTTTTACTGGGACATAAGTATTTATCATTAAACCCATAAGTTCGTTCCCATTTAAGATTACCACATACATTCCAAAGTCTTCCACTACCCGAAATCGCCTTACATGCATCAAATAGTAGAATACCCGCGGAATGTATGGTGCTTATCACAGTCCTATTTATTAATGTCCCCTGGGAGTTACTATTCCGAATTACCAACCAAATTGTACGGGGTTGGAAATGGGGATCAAAACATTTAGACTCTCCTGATATTGGCTTGCACACACTATAATCAATATCCAAATATCTACATTTAGATACAGATCCCTTACATTCATACTGTGAGTGCCAGATGAGAGTTTGGGATATTTGGTTACCTGTTTTAGTAGTCTTAATGCAACTATCGCAATTCGGTATGTCTATACTCCTACCTTCCTGAAAAATCATAAAAATACTAAGACACAATAAAACACATTATTCCTGAAATCCTCATTTTTCTTCGACCGTGCGATGGCCTCTCAGCTTCCCGATTGTGAGGGCTGCAAGGATGTTGTTCTTCTGATCCTCACTTTCCTTCACAGAGATCCCTTCAAGATACTCTGGCTATGACACGTAGGCAGGTGGTCAGGCTTTATTATGGCCGTCAAAACACCTACTTGATGATCTTTGTAGACTTTTAACTAGAATGTCTCGATATCCCCTCGTCACTCCGACTGAGTTGCACGCTTCAACCGGGTCCTGCAAGGATTCTCAGGATCTGGAGTAGTTTGCCAAGAGTCTGCTGCTGGTTTAACCTTAGAATGATGAATCCAAGGAGTCACTTCCGCCACCTTTACAGCTGTTGGGGTAGATAAAAGAACAACATACAAAGGCTAACAGAATACACCCCGAGCTTTAACTCAATATGTATTGGTGGGATATTACGAGCAAGTCCTGGAGGATTATTTTCTTCCCATACTCCTGGAATGTCAAGTAAGGATTCATCACTCTTAGGGTTAACACTTGTCACTATGGAATAGAAGCGTCATTCTTCTTCCCTCGGCACCGATATCATATTATGCCTGGTAATCCCTTAAACTTCAGAGATGTTAATCCATTAGGTAAAAGGTTATCTGAGTTTAAAGCTTCGATAATAGATCTCGTCCTAAAAGTTGAATCGGACACTCTGGCATATATAGGAACTAATGCTTCACCACAGAATGTTCAGCACCTGTGTCGATCATGAAAGAACTTCTCTTTCCCCCTATTGCTACATCGACCATAGGCTCCGCTCGACCAAGTGGGATGGAGCCCAGTCGGTATCAATAGTCTTCCATGATAGTGTCAGCCAGACCCACAAAATCTCTATCCTCTCTTTCTCTAGGTCTCTGCGTGGGTGGATAGTATCTGTCTCCTTGAACACTTCCTCTACTATTCCCACCATTCCCTCTAAAACTTCCTCTTACTCTATAACTACCACTATAACCTCCTCGTACCCTTCTCTCTCCTTGTCTATCACCTTCATACTGCTCTCTCTGTGGACACTCACTCTTCCAATGTCCCTCCTTTCTACAATACGCACATTAATTCCTACTTAAAGTCCCTTGCTCAGCCTATTCTCGTCTCCTCTATTCACTTCCCTGTCTTTCTACACTTAAGATAGCTACCGCTAGCATATCTGCCTTTTTCCTCATTTTACGTTCTTCCTCCATCTCCCTATTCATATATACTGTATTTGCAATCTCCATTAGCTGTATTATGGACATCCCTACAAATCCCTCTAATTTTCTTTAATTTCCTTTTACTATCACCTTGGGCCTGGCTGACAAATGCTGAGTCTATCATTCGGAAGTTTTCAGGGGCCTCTGGATTAAAGGGAGTATACAACCTATTTGACTCAAGCAGTGTCTAATATGGGACTTCGGCAAGGCTGCCCAATAATAGGTTCCAGTCTAGGAGTAGTAAGATAATTTTATTAGTCAGCATTTGGTGGATGAAAAAACGTTTTTTTTTTTTTGTTTTTTTAAAGTGTTAAACCAAAAACCTACCAGTAGGTGTCACCAGAGGGTAATTGAATCAAAATAATCTTTATGGGTCTAATAAGAAAACTCAACTTTTAATATATTTATACATAAAATAAAACCTTATAGCAATAAATATATTAAAATAGGGTAAGCAATCCTACATCTATCTGTTATAAACAATGTAATATCAATGTAACTCCCGAAGATGGCCAGTAGGTGGCTTAGAGTGCCTCCCTAAAGTCAAATGAAACAAATAGACTTTAATTAATTATGTCCTATTTTATTATTACTTATTTTAATCAATGTCCACCCTGCTAGCTAGGCTTGATTAAATCTTTAGTTCTAAGGTAAATTAAACATTTCAGTTTGTAGTTTAGTAAAAGGGGA